GTAGTGATGGCTGCTAGGGCGCTGGTGCGGCGAGGCATTCGTGCATGACGTTCGTAATGCTGGACGTGCTTTTTGTGCGGTTCCGGCTGAGAAGTCGGAAAAGTGCCTCATGAGGTGGTTACCAGTTGGCATGGACAAGCTGGTTTCAGCTTTTCAGTTTTGAACGTGCAATGGTCCAGCATGGTCTGGTCGAGCATTCGTCCCAATTGGTGGCATGAACATGTCTGATTGCATAGCAATTCATGCTTTCCTCTGTTAGAACTGCATTATAGTTTATTCATGTCGTGCTGATGTAATGCACAGCAGGTAGTTACTGAATGCTAACACTTGGCCGCTGTTGTGTTAGCGAAACTCTGAACGCTAGCATCCAACAGTTAACAATTATGTGTTTAGCATGAATATTGCATCCAATCATGTGTGATGCCGCCTATGTCTGTCTGGCATGCTACCCATTACAATTGTGTGTTTAGCATAAACATTTGCATCCATTCATGTGTGATGCCGCCTATGTCTGTCTGGCATGCTACCCGTACATCTGGCGCTTACGATTTGCGTCAGTTTGACCGTGCGCGCTGTGATTGACCGTGTGCGCATGCGCTTGGGTAGATTACGGCCCGCCTGACTGGTGGCGCCTCGGAGCGGCCAGACCCGGAACTAGCCAAGGCCGAGCACTCCGCGCCGGATGTAGCGGTACGTTGAGCAGGGTGCGCGGAGATCTTGTCATGGGATGTAGCCGGCTCGAGATATTCTCCTGGGATGTATCCGGCTCGAGATACTCTCGCGGGACGTAGCCGGCTCGAGATATTCTCATGGGATGTAGCCGGCTCGAGATATTCTCATGGGATGTAGCCGGCTCGAGATATTCTCATGGGATGTAGCCGGCTCGAGATATTCTCATGGGATGTAGCTGGCTCGAGATATTCTCATGGGATGTAGCCGGCAACGTCTTTTGAACAAAACTCTCGCTACTGTTTCGATAAAAGTATGTTGCCAAAACATCAACCCATCTATATCTCCATTACCCTGGTTTTTCTCCGAGGAATAAGGCTATTACTACCGTCTTATCGATGGAAAAAAATTGTGCTACCTTCCTATTCGTACCATTTAAAATCATGGGTTTCATGACTTCAGGATTTGTACTCAGCTGCCCATTGTTCAACATGCCATGAAACCACTGTTTCTGCTTCGCCGTCATGGGTCAATATTTGTTGTGGGATGCTGGCAGACCATTGCTTGTGCAATGCTAACAGACACGTTGCATCAGTTTTTTGTCCAGGTGCATGTCTGCCTTGTGTCACCATTTGTGATGGTCACTTGTATTCGTAGGCCGTAATCAGTAACGCAAACCTCTGCTGCAGCTGGATCCCCATCGGCCGCCCACTCCGCCGCTGCCATCTACCGACAGACCTCAGAATCCCATCTTCGACGACAGCCAGAAGGCGGCGCTGCTGAAGCGTCTCCTTCAGAGCACAAACCCCGAGGACATTCAAGCAGCCAACCGCCTCATCAAGACCATGGTGAAACAGGTGAGAAGCTGCGGAGGCGCTACTACTAGCGCGGTCGGCACGTTTGACGCTACTGCAGTGATGCATGGAAATGTGATGCATCTGGTATGCTGTTTAAGGATGACATAAGTTGACCTATGATGACGTTTTACCTCTGTATTTACATGTCACTCGTTGGTTTTGTGTCATACGCGACCTGTGAGGCCTGTTACTTCCGTATCAATTATAAAATATAACTAGACAAGTATGACCCATGCATGACCCAGGACCATGTGACCAGTGTTACTCACGCGTGACCCTTGGACCATGTGACCGTGTGATCGTGTGACCATGCATCGGTGTGACCGATGTCCTGACCGCCAGGACGAGGAGCGCGTGGAGCGCGCCAGCCGCCGCGTCTCCGAGCTGGAGGTGGTCCGCACCAACCTGCGCCTGCTGGACGAGATGATGGACAATTACTCGCCAGGTGGGTCGCCTTGCTGCGTCGCGCGGGCAGCCAGTGCGGCCTGCGCCGGCGCGTGGCCGCCGGCCGGCCGGGCTGAGCGCGCCTCCGGGCCGGGTGGCGGCATGACGTCCGGCGGCGTGCGTGCGCCTGGTCTCCGTGCGACATGCTGACTGTGGGTGACGGGGGGGGGGGGGAGGGGGCGACCGCTGGGCGGGGATGCACGTGGGCCGGCCGCACCAGTCGCCGGAGGCAGCTCGTGTCCTGTGCCGGATACGCCCCCCATGGTGAGCGTTATGGCCTCTCCCAGGGTGGAGGCACGTGAGTGGAAGCGCGGGCGGTGGTGGGTGATGGCTCGGAGGATGTGTGCGGTGACCCGACTGTGGCACGTCACGATCAAGTCCTGCTGCGTCATAGCTCTTCTGTAGCCCTGCCGTGGGATGTGTTCCCCGAGGCCTCGATTGCGTGATAGCAGAAGTTGGCGGATGTTATGAGTTGAACGTTCTTGTGTTGAGGTAACGACCTTCAGTACACCAGGTGGTGCTGCTTAATGGACGTCGCCATGCTAAGTAAGGATCATCTTGGTTAATGTAATCGCCATTTCACATTATAACTTCGTTTGACCACTACCTCCTGGCATCTTGAAGGTCGTTAGTCGTCAACTCAGCAGAAGAACTTGCACCTCGACATGCTGAAAAAAGAAGCTAAGGGCTTATCTTTCTGGTATCAAGTACAACTTTAACCAGATAGCAGTTAACTAAAGCCAAAGCACAATGTGCACCCTTCTGAATCCAACTGTGCACGTGGCCATGAATCTGCCCAGCTCCACCGACCCGTCCCATTTAACCGTGACCTTGAGATGAAGGTCATACGTTAATTCGATGTTTATATGATGGGCGCCAAATGACCACCGCAGTCGGCGCGCCCTAAAACACCGATTAACAACAAACAAAATGTTTATATGGGCACTGCTTAACTGCTTGAAGGCATATGTGGTGTGATTTAGAATGGCATATGTTGTGACTTTACTTCAGTAGATGGCCTGTTTGGGTCGATTGCGGCTGGCCCCCTCCGCGCCGGACGCGGCCGTGACCCCCGTCCGGCGGCGGTGGGACTGTGCCCGTCGCTGACCGGGGCTGGGCCGTGTCTGCCGGCAGCCACCACCTCGCGGGACGAGCTGGAGCTGATGGCGGAGCTGAAGACGTCCTGCGGCCAGCTCAGAGCCAAACTGGACAGCCTGGCGGCGGAGACGGACGACCAGGACCCGGCGCTGGGTCAGTGGGGCACGCCGGGGTCACTTCCCCTGACCTTCGCCCGGGGGAGGGGAGACCAGGACCCGGCGCTGGGTCAGTGGGGCACTCCGGGGTCACTTCAGTTGACCTTCACCCGGGGGAAAGGAGACCAGGACCCGGCGCTGGGTCAGTGAGACACGCTGGGTCACTTCAGCTGACCTTCATCCGGGGGAGGGGAGACCAGGACTCGGCGCTGGGTCAGTGGGACACGCCCGTGTCGCTTCAGCTGACCTTCACCTGGGGAGGGGGAGACCAGGACCCGGCGCTGGGTCAGTGAGGCACGCTGGGTCACTTCAGCTGACCTTCACCTGGGGAGGGGGAGACCAGGACCCGGCGCTGGGTCAGTGAGGCACGCTGGGTCACTTCAGCTGACCTTCATCCGGGGTGGGGAGACTAAGGCCCGGCGCTTGGCCAGAACCCGGAGGAAGGGGAGGACGTTTGTCCAGTAACGTTTTGCAGTGTTTAGCTGTTGCTGCTGGGCAGTTTGGCTGCCAGGTTAGGTGGTAGGGGCCTCATGTCTAGTGTCAGCCACGTTTTGGTGTGGTTAGCGACGCTTTGGAGGTAGAGCTGAATACATTTGAATGCTTAAGTTCAGTTCATTTTCAAGCAGCACCAGGCGAGCTGATATTAACCAGCTACCTTCGTGACCTGACCTGACCTGACCACTACTCCCAGGTGAGCTGTTGCAACCACTGACCCACGTGGCTTAATTTGACCTGACTTGGCCCACATGGCTAGATGCCCACTGTTGTTCACCATTGAGCCACCTGACCTGACCTGACCTGACCTGACCTGACCTACCTGACCTGACCTGACCTGACCGCTGCCGCCAGGTGAGCTGGTGGCGGCCAGTGACGAGATCGGCCGCGTGCTGGGTCGTCACGACGCCCTGCTGTCGGCCGGCGCGCCGCCGCTCACCCTGCTGCAGCTGGAGTCGCCGCAGGAGCAGCCGCGCCCGCCACCCTCCGGCCAGCAGCTGCTGCACCAGCAGCTGGCCCAGCTGGGTAGGGGACGCGGCGCCGCCGCCGGCCGCTGCTGGGCTGGCTCGGACGCCGGCCTCTCCATGGCAGATCCGTGCCAGTGGATAGCTGTCTGAAGGTGTAGATAGCCCTACTTATCATCTGCTATTGTATTCTGTATATTGCCAGTTACCATAGGCTGGAACATTGAAGGTGTTGGCGCCGGACAAAAGGCAGTTCTATTTCCGTACTTCATTTGTGCCTCTGATGACAGACAGCCAACCCGTGCCCCTCTCTTGACCCTCATCGCCCACATCGCGGCCCGCTGCATGCAAACGTGATAACGCCCAGTTCGTTGCAGGCCTGGCCGACCTGGAGTCGTCGGTGGAGACGGCGGCGGCGGCGGCACCCCCTGACGGCGGGGATCTGCTCTGTCAGCCGACGCCGCCGGTCGGACAGCCACTCGGTCCCGGACCAGCCCCGACCGGGCCTGCTGCCCTGTCCAGCGGGCTGTCCGGCGGATTGTCCGGCGCTACCGGATTGTCCGGCACCAGCGGGCTGTCCGGCGGCGGCGGATTGTCCGGCACCAGCGGGCTGTCCGGCGGCGGCGGATTGTCCAGCACCAGTGGATTGTCCGGCACCAGCGGACTGTCCGGCGCCGGCGGATTGTCCAGCACCAGCGGGCTGTCCGGCACCAGTGGATTGTCCGGCGCCAGCGGGCTGTCCAGCACCAGCGGATTGCCCAGGGCGGCGCCGGCTCCGGCCTCCGCCGCTCCGTCCGGCCCGAGCGGCGCTGCGCTGGCGGAGCTGCTCGGCGCGCTGGGTCCGCCGACGACGGTGGCGCCACCTCCGCCCGTGCAGCGGAGCCCGCAGGTTAGCAGCCGCCCCCGGACGGCTGGCGCCCCCTGGGGGCAGTGCGCCGACTGCGGACGTGGTGCTGGGTCTGGAGACAGTGTTGGCGGTTAGACGTGCTTCAGCCTGGTGCTCAGTGGAGGTTATTTTGATTTTGGTTTTCTTGAGAACACTGTTTTCCGGAAATTAAGGTGAGCTTTGTTCTTGAGTGATTGTACTGGCGTCGGTGGGTGCCGGTTTTGTACCGCGACGTTCTCTTTTTGTACACCTCACGCCCCAGAGCTATTGGCAGCAGTGCCAGTCTGGCATTATTCCCTAACAACACCATTATGCCCTAATTCCGCCTCCTCCCCACAGAGGGCAGCACCGGCGCCGTGCCCACCGGCTCGCTCCGCCTTCGATGACCTGGATGACCTGGTGCGCCTCAGCATGTCGGGCTCGGCCCCGCCTAACAGCAGGTCAGGTCAGGGGGAGGACAGTGCCGCGTCCGCACCCGACAGTATGGGGATTGTATGCCCGAGATGTGCAAAAAGCAGGCTACATCTGCGTGAAGCATGACATTTTGAAGGTCTTAAAACAATAGCTTTATGGAAATATCAAATCGTAAAATGGGGAGGGGGGGGGACAAAACAAGGTTGTAAAACAGCATCTGCGTGGGACTATGGAATTGCGCTCTTGGCGTACGTTCTCATATCGTTTTCTCGCTCTGGTTCTGTATGTTGGTCGGCCGCGCCATACCTCGTGCCAGATGCGGCCCTGCACCGGGGGTACAGTTTCAACGTCTGATTTTACATCCGTTCACGCCTTGTGTACCAGCAACAGAATTTCTGCGAGTTTCTCAGTCAGCTGTTGCGGTCTAGAGGCGCCAGTTTTAAGCTCGCAGGTCCGCAAAGCGCGGATGAAAAGGGCTCAAAAGTGGTGCATCTCTGGTCACCCACGCCTGGCGACTGCAGAATGTCCTGCGGATTCTGCAGACGTCAGCAACCGGGAACGAGAAGTGCCGGTTTTGAGGTCTTTTTCCCGGCTTTTGTGAGGATGCGGGGTTAAATGTGCTGTCACTAGTTCGCAACAGCCGACTGGCTACGAAATTTGCAGCGGTCCTGCACCCAGTGTGCAAGGCGTAAATGGACTATTACTGTTCATTCTTGATCGATGTTGGAATGTTTGAAGACTGTTCAGTATATTACCCACTTTATGTTGTGAAAAATGAAAGAGAATTGGTTCTGCCCATCTGCTCTGGCCTGTCCTCGGCTCGCTCCACTGGTACGAGTGGACCCAGTTTTACTCTAAAATGTGGCGTCAATGCTGCTTTGTGAGAATGCTGACTTACATTCAAGAGATTGTCAGGTATAATTTGTGCACTTATGTGCTCAAAGGCGAAGTTTCTGGTGAAATGATGGAAAATGTCTCTTAGGAAATGGCTATAGGTTACAAGGCATTTTTCGTATCTAACCCCCCCCCCCCCTCCGATCTTTTTTACGTATGACTGCAGACTAGTGCAAGCTTGTTTACAAGCTAACGCCAAATACTTTCCACAGGACCATCAAGACTCCTCCGATTCCGTCCAGTCCACGCTCCGCCCCTCCTGGAAAAGCAACCAATCAGAGCGCGGTGCCGTCCACAACCTTTGTCCTCCAGCCAGTCAAGGATGCCAGTCCGCCGTCACCGACCAATCAGGGCGCAACGAACGGCTCGGAGCACTCGCTACTGGACTTCGGCTGCGAGCAGTCGGGGGCGGCGCCTAACGGGCATCAGCCAACCGGCGAACTGCATGGTGATGACGTCAGCTTGCTGTCGGCGCTGAGTGGTCCGAGCTCGCACGACTCGCTGCTGTCCGACGGAAGGTCAGATGAAGGTCAAGTGCGGGCGGCAGGAGAGCCAGCGGCCACTGGGAAGCTGCTGAGCTTGGCGGACGTTACTGTACCGTTGGAGGATATCAAGCCAGGTGAGGCGGACAGAGGGCAGGAGAAGGGCTGTGGGCAGGCTAAGGTACTGTGTCCCGCAGTGTTGTGATGGAAAAGGTGTCATTGGCCGTTAGCATGGAGGATGTTTGACAGATGCCAGTTTATACGCTTTCCGCCCCTGGGGCTTGATCATTGAAAATATTTGAAAGCTTAAATATTTCAATGACAACCATGCATTAGCACTGATACGGGATGTTTAACGTTGGCAATTCATAAAAAGTAGTTAGGTCATTCCGATATTTTGGCAGCATGAAAGACCGTCCAAAATTCCTTTGCTTAGGAGGATAGCACCAAACTAACCATTCCTGTGGCTGCTAAATTCTCGTGTTGTGGTGGCATGAGTGTTGTTGGGCTCGGACTAGGCCATGGTTTTTTTGCAAACGGATCACTTCGGCTTGCTGAGTATTTCATTTAATTTGGCATGTCTATGCGTGGTCATATTACCGCACAGCAACCCCCGTCGATTGGACGATGGGGCTCTCTCTGCCACTCCGTCCATGGGGTTGCCTCTTGTTGAGTGCTACCATGAAGTGATTTTGTTGGGTGAAATGTGGACGTCTGATGAGCTTCTCATCACTAATTTGATGTATTGGTTGTTCCACCATGTTACCTTGACTTGCCCCGCCATCTGACCTCGTTTGGACCCCACATTGGACCTGACCTGACCAACCATCCGACCTTGAACCGACTCGCCACGTGGGCTTGGCTTGATTCACCGCCTGACAACTCCACCGCCGACCTCCGATCCCACCGCACCCGCCACTGCGTGTGCCCACCGCCTGACCTTGGCGTGACCTGCAGGCGGCGGGCCACCGGTGCCCCTGTTCTCGGAGCCCGCCTCGTTGGAGATCGCGCTGCACCCCGCCGGCAACCGGCCGCGGCCCGACGTCACCGTCTACGTCATCACGGCGCTCAACCGAACCGGCCGGCCCGTCTCGCAGTACACACTGCAGGCCGTTTGCGATAAGGTGTGACGTCATTGTGACGCCATTGGTGTTTTCGAGTTGGCTTGCCCGCGGGCGTGGGGTGTGGTTTGCGTACTATCATGTGCATATGATATCCCTTTGTTTACGCATTCAAACGTACCTCATAGTTGGTGAATGGCTCAAATGTACCCCATGGTTGGTGAATTGCTGGTCTGTTTCATATCTACTTGGGTTCCAGCGTGGCCCTCATTGTACCGGTGTGGCACAAGAGTTGACTCGTGTTGTCCTTAAACGCCGGAATCTTACGTTCTTGGAATCACTTTAAGAGAGACCCTGGGAGAGATATAAGAGGGCCTTACGATAAATCCAGCCCTCCTCGCACGTGCCTGCGGGCTGTCGTGCGTCGCAGGCGCCCCTTCCCGGGCTACTCCGGCGGCCGTCCAGTATTCCGCCCTCACGACCCGCTGCGTCCGCCGTGTCGTCGTGTTCTCTTTGGAGGGCGCTCGCCGCCCTTGTGCGGGTGTGCTGGTGGCCGTGGTGGCTGTGTTGACGCCCGCTGATGGCGGCGGCAGGGCGCGCGGGTGCGCCTGCAGCCGCCCTCCTCCGCCGACCTGCCGGCCGGCTCGCCGTTCCTGCCGCCGCCGGCCGCCAGCCAGGTGATGCTGCTCGCCAACCCGCAGCAGGTCAGTAAGGCGGCACCGGGCAGTGGTGGGCACCGTGACTGGGCAGTGATGGGCACCGTGACTGGGCAGTGGTGGGCGCCGTGACTGGGCATTGGTGGGCACCGTGACTGGGCAGTGATGGGCACCGTGACCGGGCAGTGATGGGCACCGTGACCGGGCAGTGATGGGCACCGTGACCGGGCCGGGCAGTGGTGGGCACCGTGACCGGGCAGTGATGGGCACCGTGACTGGGCATTGGTGGGCACCGTGACTGGGCATTGGTGGGCACCGTGACTGGACATTGGTGGCACCGTGACCGGGCAGGGTGGGCACCGTGACTGGCATTGGTGGGCACCGTGACTGGGCATTGGTGGGCACCGTGACGGGCGGTGGTGGGCACCGTGACTGAGCATTGGTGGGCACCGTGACTGGGCATTGGTGGGCACCGTGACCGGGCAGTAGTGGGCACCGTGACCGGGCAGTGATGAGGACCGTGACTGGCAGTGATGGGCACCGTGACCGGGCAGTGATGGTCGAGCCGGAATACTTGGATGACTCATACCAAGCGTAAGGCTAGTTAACTGTCAAACAGTTCACACGCTCATTATGCGAACATAACGCACCAGCGAACGCTATCATTGGCCGCCAGCATGTATAACCACCTCCTAGCAGGTGTTTTGTTGATTGCTACTGGGAGGCAGATCCTTCCGAACACGCTGTGATGAACCGTTTACTCTGATCACGCCTTTGATGCAGCTCTTCCTCCTTGTTTGGGAGCGCCGCTGATCCCTCCCCTCCCAATCACATCTCCAATGAACCGGGCGGGCACCGGCTGAAACTCACCCCCACCCTTCCGGCGTGCCCCGACTGTGCCCCCCTCCTCCCTGCCTGAGGTCGCCTCCGGTCGCTCGCCGCCCCGCTCCGTCTGGGCACACCTCTGACGCCGCCCCCGCCGCCCCGGCAGCTGAAGGTGACGCTGCGCTTCATGCTCAGCTACAGCGTCGACGGCGACACCGTCACCGAGATGGCCGACGTGGCGGATCCGGGCCGTCCCTAGCCGGGGCCCACGGCGTCCGAGCTCGTCACGTGACGGCAGCGTCACGCCACGTCACCGGCGTCACGTGACGGCAGCGTCACGCCACGTCACCGGCGTCACGTGACGGCAGTGTCACGCCACGCCACCGACGTCATGTGACGGCAGTGTCACGCCACGACACCGACGTCATGTGACGGCAGTGTCACGCCCTGTCACCGACGTCATCTGACACCGACCACTTCAGCCGCCCGTGGCGGGCTCTGGCGTGGTCGGTAATGTCGTGTGTTGTCATGTCCCCGGGACTCCTGCCGCTCCCGCTCTGCGCTGACGTCGAACACAGTCGCGCCGGAGCGTGGTCGGCTGCGGCGGCGGCGGGTGCTGCCGTCGAGTGTGGCGAGACCGCCGGCCGCCGCCGCCCGTGCCGCCCGCCGCGCCGTGCGTGACGGGCGTGACGTCTCAGTGTGGCGTTCGCCGGGTGAGCTCGCGCAGCGCCGGCCGGCGGCGCCGGAACGTCGGCGCCCGCTCCCGCTCCCGCGCGGCCAGCGAGAGAGAACACTGGCGGCGACCTGAAGCCGAGCCGAGCGGCCGCGGCTCTGGACCGCCGTCCCGCCTGAACTGAGCCTGGGCAGCCGGTTCATGCGCGGGCGCAGAGCACCAGCCGTGCCAGTGTGAATGGGGCGCAGCGGCCCGCCGCCGCCGCCGCCGGCTGCGGGACGCTGGGACCGCGCACCGTCGGCCGTCCGTTCCGCCACCATTCCGCCCTCGCCGCGACGCTCTGTGGTCCCCCGCCGGCCCGACGCGGCGTGTGCCTCGTCGCGCGGAGCGCCACCCGCCGCTGCGGTCGGCTTCGGACGGTGCGGGTTACAGTGATCAAATCTACTGAATTGTGAGTGAGCAAGGTGCTTTCTCCTAAGGGGTGGGGGTGGCACCGCTGTCCCGCTCGCACACGTGAGCTATCGCCTTCCGCTTCCTTGCACCGGTGTTCTGAGCTTCTGGCGTTCCTTCCACGCCGTGCATTCTCCGTCGAGGCACACGCTATGCATTTGAGGCGCGTCTGCGGCATGCGCCCGCGTTCCCCCTTACGTGCGTTCTGCCTGGCCTGTACGACTTTGGCGGCGCTCGGTCGGCGACTGGCCGCTGGGCTGCGCCCCGATTTCCGCCGAGCCACGCCGCTCGGCCCTGGCCAGTATCCGCCGTCCCCCGCGCCGCGGCGCCAGCTGAGTGTGGGAGTGGGCGTTGGGTTTGTTCTGTGTTGGCTCTTGTTGTCTAGTCAGGTGTCTGCGGACAATACAGGCTGTGGACGACAGATGGCGTTTGGGTCGCTGGCCCCGGCCGTGTTCGCGGCCACGCCTGCTGGTCGCGGCCGATTTCAGTGTGTGGTTTGCCATGCTTACTCGGCCGGCCCACGTCGGCCAAGCCCTTCGCCGCGTCGTCGTCATACGTAGCCGTCCCGCCAAGTGAATGGGAAACTCGCCACGCCCAGAAATGCCATGAACAGCTTCCCAACTCCCAGCGCTCAGCGCGCGAGACTGGCCCCCGTGGCGCGTGTGACGCGCTCTCGCGGACGTGAGAGCACTGCTCGCAGTTCGAGGACGCTCGACATGCCGCCGCCTTGTTGCTTATCCGTTCGGTCCTAGCATACCGCCTTGTCGCTTATCCGTTCGGTCCTAGCATGCCGCCTTGTTGCTTATCCGTTCGGTCTTAGCATATCGCCTTCTTGCTTATCCGTTCGGTCTTAGCATATCGCCTTCTTGCTTATCCGTTCGGTCCTAGCATACCGCCTGTTCACTGTCCTTATCCGTTCGGTCCTAGCATACCGCCTTCTATTTATCCGTTCGGTCCTAGCATGCCGCCTTGTTCACTGTCCTTGTCCGTTCGGGCCTAACATGCCGCCTTGTTCACTGTCCTTATCCATTCGGTCCTAGCATACAGCCTTGTACTTCACTGTCCTGATCCGTTCGGTCCTAGCGTACCACCTTCTTGCTTATCCGTTCGGTCCTAGCATGCCGCCTTGTTCACTGTCCTGATCCGTTCGGTCCTAGCGTACCACCTTCTTGCTTATCCGTTCGGTCCCAGCATACCGCCTTGTTACTTCACTGTCCTCGTCCGTTCGGTCCTAGCATACCGCCTTGTTACTTCACTGTCCATGTCCGTTCGGTCCTAGCATACCACCTTGTTACTTCACTGTCCTTGTCCGCTCGGTCCTAGCATACCGCCTTGTTACTTCACTGTCCTTGTCCATTCGTTCCAAATATACCGCCTTGTTACTTCACTATCATTGTCCGTTCAGTCCTAGCATACCGCCTTGTTTCTTCACTGTTCTTGTCCGTTCGGTCCTAGCATACCGCCTTGTTACTTCATTATCATTGTCCGTTCGGTCCTAGCATACCGCCTTGTTACTTCACTGTCCTTGTCCATTCGTTCCAAATATACCGCCTTGTTACTTCACTATCATTGTCCGTTCAGTCCCAGCATACCGCCTTGTTTCTTCACTGTTCTTGTCCGTTCGGTCCTAGCATACCGCCTCGTTACTTCACTGTCCTTGTCTGTTCTTTCCAAATATACCTCCTTGTTACTTCACTGTCACTTCTGGCCAAACGACATGTTACGAAAGGAGCGCCGTTTATCCCTGAATCGTACAACAACGTACATGCCTTAAGAAAGCGAAACAAACTGGCCCTGGAAAACACCGTGGACCACCGTCACCCGAGCTTACACGCGGCTTGGCGGCCGGGGACAGACCAGACGCCCTTGTCTTGACTGACGCCCAGACAGACTTGACGCCCAGATCACTCACAAATGAGCGGTTAAATGAATACTTGATTACAAAAAAGCTCCCCATCCTCTCCAGACTTTTGGAGGCCCACATGCCCCTGTTCTCCCGCTCCCGGTGTCGCCACCTGTTGTCAGCCACGCGAACGTCTAGTTCACGAGTTCTTCTGCGGCATGGCGGTGACGACCACCTTGACCTCCGTGTAGTTCTGCAGGCCGTAGGAGCCCTTCTCGCGGCCGTGGCCCGACATCTTGTAGCCGCCGAACGGCGCCTGCGACGGGAAGTCGTTGTACATGTTGATCCTGCAACACGAGCGGGGTGAGCCTCAGTGGCGGTGGTGAGCGCGCCGCGGCGGCGGCGGCAGCGGGGCACCGCCTCTCGGCGGGCGAGGCGACGGCACGTCGTGGCCGGACGGGCCGGCGCCGTCTCCTAGGATTAGGGATACGCGGCAGACAGCGCACGATAGAGAAGGATGGGGACTGTTGCTGTACAATTGAGAGGACATTTACCATGCAATGAAGACGCATAATTTTCTAGACGGTTTCTGCCCGCATCCCTCACACAAGTATACCGGAAGCCAGCCGTCTCAGGTAACACGTCACCGTCGCCTCGACGACCAAACATGAACCATCCTGCCCTGCAACAGCCCGCACAGGCTAGACCGCGGACAACGCCAGCCATGCCTGGCCTGGCCTGACTTGGCCTGATCACAACCCGTTGACTGGCCAGCAAGCCCCCCCCCCCCCCCCCAACTCCTATCCCAGGCCTAACCACCGCGTCCTGCCGTCCGAGAGATCACCGCCGGCCTCCCTGCCCTTCGCCCGGTCACAGTTGCAGCCGGCGCGGCGTGCCCGTCGCCTCACCAGACTGTGCCGCTGCGCAGACCCTGGGCTGTCCTGTTGGCCAGGTTGAGGTCGCGCGTGAACACGCCCGCCGCCAGGCCGTAGATGGAGTTGTTGGCGCGCTCGATCACCTCCTCGACCGTGGAGAACTTCATGATCTGCTGCACCGGGCCGAAGATCTGCCGCGAGAGCGTCCGTCAAGACCGTCCGAAGATCTGCCGCGAGAGCGTCCGTCAAGACCGTCCGAAGATCTGCCGCGAGAGCGTCCGTCAAGAGAGTCCCAAGATCTGCCGCGAGAACGTCCGTCAGCCGGCGGCCCGCGCACGGGGAGGCCGCGGCCCGATCATCATCACCGCCGCACGCAACACACACTCACACTTCGTCGTCGTGTTATCGGACGCATGCGAACCAGTCATCGGACATCGGAGGCCTGACGGACCAGCCGCGACGCTGGTTCACGTTGTGACCATTTAGTGACGTCAGCGCAGCCAGTGTTCAGTTCCCTGAGATTCACTCGCTGACTCCGTGCCAGGCTCAGTCAGTCAGTCACAGCTCTAGACGGATTTTCAGCCAGAGTGCATATTTTCATTACCTTCTTACGCGGTCCCGTGCCAGCAGTGGCATGCGAACAGCGTTTGAGCACATTTCTCTTCATGCGATCTCCGTTTCGAAGTGAGTTCAACCGGTGCACAGACTCATGGGTCTACCTGTATTCTCAATTAGTGAAGCAGTCGCATCCAGACATCTCAGAAAATTCACACGGAGTCTTTAGCGGTGGACAAAAAGGTACCCCCAAAATGTGCTTTGCAACCCCAACAAATCGGGGCGAAAGTTACACCTTGGCACTGACCTCCTCCTTGGCGATGGTCATGTCGTCCTTGACGTCGGTGAAGACGGTGGGCTGGACGAAGTAGCCCTTGTCGCCGTGCCTGCCGCCGCCGTGCGCCAGGTGGGCGCCCTCCTTCTTGCCCGTCTCCACCAGACCCATGATCTTGTTCATCTGAGCCTCACTGATCTGCGAACCGCGACCAGGCCCGTCTCCCGTCACCGGACCGTGCCAGCTGTGCGTGACGCGGCCACGAGCGGGACCGCCTTGACCCAGGCCCGTCTCCCGTCACCGGACCGTGCCAGCTGCGCGTGACGCGGCCACGAGCGGGACCGCGCTGACAGCGGGCACGTACGGAGCCGGGTCGTCCGAGTATTCCCGTGCTGCGCCTGTTAACCCTAACCCTAACCCTGAGGTGCCGCTGGGGTTCGGCGGACAGTGCTGCCCCACTTAAGACCAAGACGGTGCTCGGTGGTAAAAATGCCGAACGTCTGCGTGAGGCATGCAGTTCGACTGCCGCACTGCTGATAGACGCGCACTGAAAATAGTGTTGAGTCGTCGAGCCTGAGCTGAAATAGCGGTGGGTCATCGGACCTCAGCTGAAATAGTGGTGGCCCATCGGACCTGAGCCGAAATAGTGGTGGCCCATCGGACCAGAGCTGGAATAGTGTTGAGTCATGGGACCTGAGCTGAAGTAGTGTTGGGTCATCGGACCTGGGCTGGAACGCTCCGACCCACTCCCAACATGACCGCACTGCGGATCACTGAAGTTAGTGCCGCTCAGGGGTCTTGTCATCTCCTGCATTAACTGACATCAGGGTCTTGAGTGGTGTCCCGCAACTCTTCGGGTGGTAATCCTCTCTCCTCTGTCACCCAACACATTTGCCTCCTCTCCTCACTTCTCAATTGGAGTCAATTTTCCTTAAAAGCCCATCAACAGCAACACAACTAAACGTCGTGTGTGCCCTACTCTGTCTAATAAACAAACCTTTTCACACTTTTTGCAGAACACCAACCTCATGCCGATTTAGACACCACTAAACGGTCATGCTCCATTACGCGTGTTATCTGATATCTGGGCCTTATCTATCCGATCGCTCCTACGCCATCGACGATAACGACATTTTTTTCGCCACAAGTAACACTGCCACAAGGTCACAGTGCTACCCTCGTTGCGGTTGGTTTGGGGCGGAGCCGGCGTGGACTGTGCCGCAGTGGACTGTGCCGATGTGAACTATGCCGGTGTGGACTGTGCCAGTTGGACTGTGCCGGTCTGGACTGCTCCGCTGTAAACTGTGCCGGTGTGGACTGCGCCGGTGTGGATTGCACCACTGTTGGCTGCGCCTGTGTGGATTGTACCACTGTGGACTGTGCCGGCGTGGACTGTTCTGGTGTGGATTATACCACTGGGGACTGTGCCCGTGTGGACTGTGCCGGGGTGGACTGTGTCGGTGTGGACTGTGCCGCTGTGCATTGTTCCGGTGTGGAATGTACCACTGTGGACTGTGCTGATGTGGACTGTGCCGGTGTGGACTGTGCCGCTGTGGACTGTGCTGGTGTGGACTGTGCTGGTGTGGACTGTGCCGGTGTGGACTGTGCCGGTGTGGATTGTGCCAATGTGGATTGTACCGCTGTGGACTGTGCCGGCGTGGACCGTGCTGGTGTGGACTGTGCCCGTGTGGACTGTGTCTGTATGGACCAACACGATGACACCCGCCGAACCTACCCGCCAAACTCATACTCATGTCGATGTACGTCCACATACATCGATACCAACTCTCCGCCATTCCCGCTGACGGCGAGAAGCTGGCCGACCGGCTCTGACCTGACGTCACCCCTCCCGAAGGAAGCCGCGCCGTGATTGGACGACGACGCGCGCCGCCGAGTGACGTCACCCGTACCTGGGGTCCCTGCAGGGTGCTCAGGTCGAACGGATCGCCGACGGTGCGCTGGCGCGCCTTCTCGATACTGCGCTCCACGTACTCGTCGTAGATGTCCTCCTGGACGAAGATGCGGGAGCCGGCGCAGCAGCACTGACCCTGCGGCGCAGGTCAGGTCGGGTCAGGTCAGGCGCCACGGACAGGCGCTCGGGTTACAGGTCACACAGCAGGTCACAACTCTGGTCAAAGGTGAGAGCGGGTCAGGTGCGGATGATCACAGGTGCGGTGGATGTGTTCCGGGTGGCAGTTGGTCAGGTCACAGGTCACATACGAGGTCACAGGGCGGGTCACAGTCCAGGCCGGGTCCGAAAAAGCACTGGTTGGATCATCGGTCAGGTACGGTACGGGTGAAATCATAGGTCGCCCCACATGTGAGATGAGTTTGCTTTCGACACACCCACGGAGCGCTAATTCCCACTTTGTGCACGAAGATCGCCCACTTGCACCGACCAGTTTGGACCCCAAGTTTTAGGAACCGCCGAAGAGTTTGACGTGGGACAAACGTCACTTTACTAAGTTTCGTTCTCATTATGACCAGAGTCTCCACGCGCGTCACGACCGCGAGTCATCATGAGAACTTTTTGACGTGTCACACCAAAGTCCGCATCTAATGTTCTAGAGTTGCCCGTAGCTTCAGCGGAGCGGAGTACTCTTCGCCCTAACCTCCCCTCCCCTCCGGCGTCGCTGGTTTGAGGCGCACGCCAACGCTCGGCCCCTCACCATGTTGAAGAAGAGGCCGAAGTGCCCGCCCTCCACCGCCTGCTCCAGGTCGGCGTCCTTGAAGACGATGTTGGGCGACTTGCCGCCCAGCTCCATGGTGACCCGCTTCAAGTTGGACTTGGCGGCCAGCTCGCTGACCACCTGACCCACCTGGAGGCGTCGGGGTCGCGCGGCCGTCACCACTGCCTGGCTCCTATTGGGGTTCAATCGTAACCACCTGGCCCACCTGGAGGCGTCGGGACGCGCGGCCGTCACCACCGCTGCCTGGCTCCTATTGGGGTTCAATCGTAACCACCTGGCCCACCTGGAGGCGTCGGGGACGCGCGGCCGTCACCACTGCCTGGCTCCTATTGGGGTTCAATCGCGCGCTCCATGGCCAAGGTCCATATAGCGCCGATATCTCTCATGCCGATGAACGACGGGGGGGGGGGCGATGAAACACTTCGCAGGAAGCCGGGCTCGAACCAGACAAATTACGACTGTGAGGTCGACAGCCGGTCAGCAGCGAATGCTGTGCGCGTGCAACGTCCTCTCATGGAAGCAGCGGCACACAACGAGCGGAGAGTCGATCGAAGGTGAGCCGTACACTCCTCGCGCTGGCCTCTCCTCCCACTGCGCCTCGCAGCCAGCCAGATCCGGTCAGACAGCCACAGGGGCGATCCGCACCTCGGTGGAGCCGGTGAAGGCGACCTTGTCGACGTTGAGGTGCGAAGCCAGCGCCGCGCCCGCCGTGGGCCCGTAGCCAGGCACGATGTTGACGACGCCAGGCGGGAAGCCAGCCTCGCGGAACAGGTCGGCCACGTGCAGCCCGGTGAGCGGCGTCTCCTCGGCCAGCTTCATCACCACCGTGTTCCCTGGAGCGTAGGGGTACTGTACTGTCAGGCGGCGTCGGCCACGCTTCGTGGGAGACGAGAGGCGCTTTGGTAGCGGAGAGGTGAAGAAAAGATACCGCGGCTGAAGGTTAGGGAGGAGAGGGTTAGAAGGAGAGGGTTAGGTTAGGGAGGAAGGTTAGATGGGGTTTCTATGAGACAAGGAACGCCCGCCGTTTTGGTGACTACAGCAGAAGTGTCCTTAGGGCGAGACGAGGATTGTCACAGCGGCGGTATCCTGGACAAAACATCCATTTTATCCGGTAAAAGATGCTTTGCTTGCCGTCATGTCTTGCCAACTACACACGCATTCACGCACAGCATGTCATTCTGCGCCGTTCCTCACAGAGTCGTCTAGTCTGCGCAGTAAACGGTGCGGCGGTGCGCTACATCAGCGTTTTGTGTCACACAACTGATACATCGACCACCAACTACATCGTTTTTCAACATGGAAAGCACTAACTAGCATATCGACTATCACAAACACTGTTCCCAGACGCAGTATTCCGCGATGACGTCATCCTGTGCTGATGACGTCACCAGCAGGTGACGTCTGGCACTCACCGGCGGCCAGCGCCGGTCCCAGCTTCCACGCCTGCATCAGCAGAGGGAAGTTCCACGGGATGATCTGGGCGCAGACGCCGACAGGCTCGTGACGCGTGTAGCTGACGACAGGCGCAGCGCGGTGAGCAGTCCGCCGGCGCCCGGCCGGCACGCGCAGCACGTGCAGCACGTACGGCACGCACAGCACGCACGGCACGCACAGCACTACGGCACGCACAGCACGCACAGCACGTACAGCACGCATGGCACGTACAGCACGTATAGCACGCACAGCACGCACAGCACGTATAGCACGCACGGCACGCACAGTACGTACAGCACGCACAGCACGCACGGCACGCACAGCACGCACAGCACGCACAGCACGCATGGCACGTACAGCACGCACAGCACGCACAGCAGTACAGCACTCACAGCTTTATAACTAAGGCACCAATAGTTATAAGTGAGCCTGCTTATCATATCTGATGCTTGCTTCAATACCTTCAACATCTGAAACATTCCCGTACGGCGGGTATGACGGGTATGGCGTATAGGGATATGGCAGGTATGGGTGTGGCGGGTACGGGTATGGCGAGGGACCCGCGGCACCCACGCAGTTTTGCAGACATACGTCAGCGGGTGACACGTTATATATATATATATATATATATATATATATATATATATATATATATATAACGTGTCATTTTAGCGTATTGTCATGTCATATCATTTAGCGTATTGACAAGACTCGTAGGCTCGCACTGATGTATACACGACTCGGGGGCAAATACCGCATGGCGGGTACATGTATGCATGCATGCATGTACAAGCGCGCGCAGGTACGTAAAAGAAACATAAAGGACAGTGTTCTACCAACGTCGCAAGCAGTTTAAAGGATGTGGAAGTTCACGACACATTACAAAGACCGTGCTTGTTGTTGGGCAGTGCCTGTACGCAAGCATAATAATCCTTCGCCTACTACATCAAGGACAGGGAAAACAAGTTGCATTTATTAATGAGAGGACACACTGCACACGGGCTTAGTCATCCTTAGCCAGATATATCACAGAAAACAAACCATATTTTTCATGAGAGGGCATATTCAATAGCGCACCAAAAAGCCAAGGAAACAAGTAAATGAAAGCCCACTCTATGGGGTTCATCCTCAAACGGGCCAAAATCTCCAGCCAGCAAGCCTCAGTCGAAATGCGCCATAGCCATTTACCTCTCGGCTTCCTGGCGCCCCGTCCGACACTCCAGGCCAAACTTCGTCCATGTCACACATGGACGGCAACACCTTAATCTTCTCCCTCTACTCCACAGGCTCTACCTCCCCACCCTCCCGCTGGTGGGGTCCATGAGACGTCCCTGCCGTCCGCGTGTTTCTCTCCCAGACAGCCCTGTCTCCCCCGCACCCCACCCTCCGATACGCACAAGGAGTTGCCCCAGACAGCTTTGTCTTACCCCCCCCCCCCCCCAACACCCACCAGAAGGAGTTGCCCCAGACAGCTTTGTCTCCTCCCCCCCTCCGACTACCACCAGAAGGAGTTGCCCCAGACAGCTTTGTTTCCTCCACACCCTCCAACACCCACCAGAAGGGGCTGCCCTAGACAGCTTTGTCTCCTCCACACCGTCCGAAACCCACCAGAAGGAGTTGCCATCGGCGGGAATGGTCTCGCCGACGATCTTGTCGGCCCAGCCGGCGTAGTAGCGGTAGTGCTTGATGCTGAGAGCCGTGTCGCCCAAGTACGACATGTAGTACGGCTTGCCGTTGTCCAGCGTTTCCAGACTCTGCGGCGAGCGTGACGTCAGAGACTGACGTCACTCATGCCGTCTGACGTCACGGAGCTGATGACGGCACGAGCAAGCTCTGGCGTCATGAACTCATTGTGACGTCCCAGATGATCGTGACAAGAGCAAGAAATGAACGTACCCGCAACATACCGGACATTCGACCTTGAGATCAACTGACTTTCGACAAGGTCACGGTGCTGCACTCACAGCCAGGTAGGTCTGGTCTCGCTCCATCAGGTCGGCCAGCCGGTACAGCAGTCTGCCTCGCTCGGACGCGTCCATTGTCCGCCAGGGGGAGCCCAGGCGGAATGCCTCGTTCGCCGCCGCCACCGCCTTCTCGACGTCCGCCTAGCCAGAGGAGAACACAGCGTGATAGTGGCGACCGCTGGCGGCGCAGGGGCGACGAAGCAGACACTCGGAGCGTGGGCTCAGCATCACTGGTGACTTCAAGGTATTGGTATGGCGGTTCGGTACATGTTAAGAGCACAGGGTTCTCATCAATAGGCTCTGACTATGAGGGTTCTCGAAAATGAGTTTTCCAAATTGAATGCTGCTTCGGGTTTGTGGGTTCTGAACGGAGGTTTCTCAGCAGAAAGTTCGAGAGACAGTGTGGATGTTCTCCTCATGAATTCCACATTCACGGGTTGCAAAGTCTGGTCTCCCATCGATAGATTCTCAAAAGGAAAACGCATTATCCCAACCGCGAGTTAAAACCGAAGCAAGAGGTTTGCGAGTCGCTTACGGTAATTTCCCGGCTTAGAATAAATCAAAGTGCCGTATTTTGTGAGCCAACAAAAGCCATACTTCATGAAGATCATCACGGGCACAGCAGGATTTGCGAATGACGTCAGTCCTAAACGTCTATAAACTCTACGTTACAATTTACAAATACTGGAGGGAAGAAACACCTGTCCCTCGCAGCCGGGGAACGTTGAGAAAAAGCGAGAAGACCCGCGTGGCTTCATATGTGTGAAACGTACACTTCGACTGTCACGCGCAACGGTCAAATAGTCTGCAAAGGTATAACAGTTTACCCTTACATCTGTACCCATCCATGGTCTCGGAGCACCACCAACCAATGGTAAAGACCAACGAGGCCATGCGTCTCGACCAATCAGAGGAACGCAGCCAGCAAGCGTGATGGATTCGGACCAATCCAGTGCGAGCGCCTCACCTTGTCGCCCTCCTGCACCTCGCAGGTGACCTCGCCGGTGCGCGGGTCAAAGGTCGGGAACGTGCGTCCCGAGGCCGACTTGTGCCATTCATTGTTGATGAAGATCTGCAGCGGAAGAGACACACGCTGTTAGCGTGATGGCGACACACGTGGACATGGTCAACATCCCATGTGGATTGCAGCAATGCATCATGGAACAATGGCCAACATTAGGCTCATTGTCACGCCACTAATCTCAGTCGCCCGTTGACAGCCATGTCGCCCACTGACAGCCATGTCGCCTCTGACATCCATGTCGCCTCTGACATCTACGCAGTCTGGGCTAAAGGTCTACACGACAGCCTACGGAACGTAAGGCACTGGAGGATAACGGTCTCAGCTGCTGTTCGCATTGCTGGAGGATGGCAAGACCAGACAACCTGCCGTGTTCGGCGACGTGGTGGCACCAGCTGCTGGCATTGCTCATAACGTTCTGTCACATCTCGCGGTTCTTAAGGCGTGAAGTGGTTATATTATGATCAACACCGAATATCTCTGCAGAGGTCACTCGATGAGAAGGTCCCCTTGCCTTAAATCTCTACTTTGACGCAAATTTTCCGTTTTCAGTTCAGAGTACCTGCAAGCGAGGCTTGCGGCGCGCATCTGAATGTTACTTGCCTATCTCCATGGGCTTACCATGGTTCGGACCGGTCAAAGTATTGTGAAGGGATAACAAGAAAAATAATAAAGGTCTGCGCGATGCTAGACATCCGCTCGCGGTCTTCCCCACGACCGCACTTCGTCAAGCTCATGCTATTTGGATATGTCAAGGCTTGGCAACGTTGTTCTCCATTTTCCACTTCGCACCGAAATGCATGCACGTAATTACGGCAGTTGCAACGATCGCTGTCCAGCTAACCGTACACCACATTCAATTCTTCCCAGGTTTTTAGAACCTGGCCATTCAATGATCAGGGGCGCCCGGACATCGACCGCGCTGCGAGGGCGCTGAAACATTGATTCGACCTCTGTGTGTCCGGCCGCCCACGTGCACCCGCCCTTGGCAGCGTCCGCTGTCGGCCCTGCCTCTGACACGGAACAGAGCCACATGCTCGGTGCCGCTCAGATACACAAAGCCAGGGGCGACCGATGACGTGTACCGGGCTGAGCCCTGCTCACCCCCATGACCCTGCCGCCCGCCCGCACGGCACGGCACAGTCTCGCATTCGACCATCACGGCGCTGTTCTAACGAGCAGCCCCAGCGATCCACGCAGACCACGGGGTGGAAAATGAGCCGCAATGAGGGCACCATACCCCGTGCTGGGACATGTTTGTTTTGTAGGTTAGAGGTGCCAGCCGCGAGATGTGGTGCGCTCCCCGCCGTCCTCCGGCTCTGCTTGCGTCCCTGCGCAGTCCACCGCCGACGGGTGAAGCCCCTAGACGGCAGACCGGCTCATCGCTGGAGGACGGCGGCGTGTCTGGCGTCGGGCGGTACACAGCTGAGGCTTCCCCCGGTCTCCGACACTGACTCGCCCCTCGCTCCCCCCCCCCCCCCCTGCCTGCCGCGAAACGTCAGTAGCGCACAGCTGAGGCCTCCCCGACACTGACCCGGCCCCCTGCCCCGAGCCGTCGGTGGCCGTGGCAGGCGGCGTACAGCTGAGGCCTCCCCGACACTGACCCGGCCCCTTGCCCGGGGACGTCGGTGACTGGGGCAGGCGGCGCACAGCTGAGGCCTCCCCCGCTCTCCAGAAAATAACCCTGCCCCGGGACATCGGAGGCGGAGCAGGCAGCGCACAACCGAGGCCTCCCCGCTCTCTGACACTGGCCCGAACCCCTGTCCCGAGACGTCGGTGGCCGGGGCGGGCGGCGTGCAGCGGCGCTGCAGCTTACAGCCTCTAAAATCGGGTCGTGCATGCCGGCGGGCCGGCAACTGCCAATGTGCACGAGCTCGCCCGTTTCATTAACGACAGGAACTGTTTGAGCGGCTGAGTTAATCCCGGCCCACATGGTTCCGGGGAGATTTAAAAGTACCAAACTTGTAAATCCGCCCCACGATACCGGCAACGGCAAGCAGTTCGGTTCGTGCTGTGCTTAGTCACGTGACGCAGACTCACTTTATCATCTCTGTCGTCACGCTAGTGCCCATGGTCACGTGACACTGCAGCTAGCGAGGAGAACGGAAACTGCGGTCCCGAGCAGCGGTAGTGTTTTCATCAGACCCACTAGACCAGGCCGCTTACCAGCTCACGTCAAACTTCCATCTGACATGGGTCAGGCAGAGACGTGACAAATGCGCCAGTCTTCGCCAAAGTGTTGGCATGTATTTGGGTCTGTAAGAAACCCAATCTCACTTCTCCCAATGGTCGAAACACGGCGGCGAATTTTGATCAGACACCAGGATTTTACGCTCGACAACATCCGAGTACCGAGGTGCTTATCATCGCAGCGCACGTTCTCCGAAACCGAGAGAAAGCAAAGCTCAAGACTGGCAAGCGGCCACTGCGGCACGTGGCGTTCTGGCGTGGGCGCCGCTGTCAACAGCGGCCGTCCAGAACCAACTGCCCGGGAGGGCATCTCCCGAGGGACGGTCCCAGACTAGCATCGCAGCAGTCGTGGCAGATAGGACAGCTGATAAGCGCCGGGACAAGACGCACTGCTGCCAGCGACCGTCCAGAACCAAGTGACTGAGAGGGCATCACCCCGAGGCACGGTGCGGGGCTAGCATCGCAGCAGTCGTGGCACGTAGGACAACTGTTAAGCGCCGGGACAAGACGCACATGGTTCGTCTGTGGGACGCATGTGATGTCTGCTGCCGCCGATGGGGAATCTGAGCAGTTGAGCAGAGCGGTAGGGCCAGGATGACAGACGCCCGGAATGCGAGGGTATATCTGCAGCCGGCGCGGAATCTGGAAAGTTGAGCTAACAACGGGCGAGCCAAAATAGCAGATCCTCAGGTATGCGAGGCAGTGAGGATCTGTGCCGCCCCAGGCTGTCGGAGTGGACCGCTGGAATCCTGCCGTTGCCACGTCGGAGCATACCGACGTGCCGCGGCGTTCGATACCTGACTACTGTTCGACAGTGGCGCAGCCAGGGGGAGGGGGAGGGGGGGGGGGGGTCACGGGACTTTGGTTCCGCTCTTCCTCCCTCCGCAAAGGTTCAAGCACAGCTTTTCACGCATGTTATTCCGGAATTCGGTGGTCAGGAAAACTACTTTAGTTTCTAAACCTCACAGACACTTCCACGGGCAGACACATGTAGAGCTCAACAGCCGTAATTTCGTAACACGACTAGAGGTTAGTCGAGTGAACACGTACGGTACGCCGCTGAAAGTTTAAGGCATCAGGGCAAACCAACATCCGCAGCCCATCGATACGCTAGGTACAGTACCTATGATCTTTTTGGGAAGGGGTTCAGTCTGTCCGCAGTGTGTAGGTACTGTCAACGGGATTAAGACTCACTCGTGTAAAAAAAAAATATTGCCTCCCGCGTCACAAATCATGGTAGCCGCCTCCGCAAATTACAGTGGCTCCGCTGCTGCTTGGTGGGTTTTTAGAGATTTATGCACCCTAACAGGGACCAAAAATATTCTGGGTGCAGGATTTCGACTTGAAAATAAGTTTACTTACGATCTTCATTTCCTGTAATAGCCCTGTTTTCTATCAATTCTTACCATTAACAGAAGCGAGAATCTGCCCAGTAAAATATCTACATGGACAGAGGCTGAGGACGCTAGAAATTATACCAAGTGCAGGACGGTTTGCCCCTTCTGACTTCCTTTTTCTTATCATACGGTTCCATCTAAAACGCCGGGATTTGATTATTTGCTGGCATTTTTGACCATCCCATGGCAAATACAGCGCCCCCGCATCTCCCAGAGGCAGTCTCAGACTGTATTCGTACGAAGCATGTTAGAAAACATCGCAGTCCTTTTACAGGGGCTGGTTTTATTTAGTTTCACTTTGATAAACTAGTTCCTGTTGTTAAAAGCCAGTGTATGATGGGCACATTATAGGATAGCCTCAAACAGATACGGCCTGTATTGTCGTACATGGGCGCGGTATAGAGTAGCCATCATGTCTCGACAAACTCGCGTTGTTTTCAATGCTTCATGCAGAGTTCTTTTCTCGATGTGATAGTTCTTAGGCTAATCATGAAATCTCATGTATCAACGAAAGAAAAGAAAGTCTACCCATGCGTGAGTCACAGAGTATATTACGCCCGATTCACACATTCCATACACCATGCCTACCCAGCATCACTCGTCTGAACCAGCCATGCAGCAGCTCACCTCCGCGGCGTGAGCCGTCACCGAGCGGCGCCTGCGAGACGTCCGTTCATTGTCACAACGCTGCAAGGTCATCAGCAGTAGCATTGGAATACCGAGCCAGCAGGGCCCCACTGCGACGGTCGCCCCGCGCCTCAGCTCCCGCACCCCCCACCGGCGCCCCACCAGGCAAGCGCCTCAGCCCCGACCTGCGCCACACCAGACCAGAGCCTCAGCCCCCGACCTGCGCTCCACCAGACCAACGCCTCAGCCCTGACCTGCGCCGCACCAGACCAGCGCCTCAGCCCCGATCTGCGCCGCACCAGACCAGCGCCTCAGCCCCCCGACCTGCGCTCCACCAGACCAACGCCTCAGCCCTCGACCTGCGCCACACCAGACCAGCGCCTCAGCCCACGACCTGCGCCGCACCAGACGAACGCCTCAGCCCCCGACCTGCGCCGCACCAGACCAGCGCCTCAGCCCCCGACCTGTGCTCCACCAGACCAACGCCTCAGCCCCCGACCTGCGCTCCACCAGACCAACGCCTCAGCCCACGACCTGCGCCACACCAGACCAGCGCCTCAGCCCACGACCTGCGCCGCACCAGATGAACGCCTCAGCCCCCGACCTGCGCCGCACCATACGAACGCCTCAGCCCCCGACCTGCGCCGCACCAGACAAGCGCCTCAGCCCTCCACCGGTGCCCCACCAGACCAGCACAGCACAGCAGCTGTCGTCACGGAGCTCAGTCGCGCTCTCAGCTGCTGGGGCTATGGGGCGCAGCCTGCCTCTGGATAGCAGCTCATCCAGCCGGGTCCGGAGGGCAACAGTTCAGCATTTAGGTAAAGAATTTGGAGCTTG